CTGAAAGACCACCGGCGTCTGCACACAGGTGAGCGGCCCTTTGCCTGTGAAGTGTGTGGCAAGGCCTTTGCTATCTCCATGCGCCTGGCAGAACATCGCCGGATCCACACTGGTGAACGGCCCTACTCCTGCCCTGACTGTGGCAAGAGCTACCGCTCCTTCTCTAACCTCTGGAAGCATCGCAAGACCCACCAGCAGCAGCATCAGGCAGCTGTGCAGCAGCAGCTGGCAGAGGCAGAAGCAGCTGTTGGCTTGGCTGTGATGGAGACTGCGGTGGAAGCACTGCCTTTGGTGGAAGCCATTGAGATCTACCCTCTGGCTGAGGCTGACGGAGTCCAGATCAGTGGCTGACTACCCCATTTCCCTCTTCGGCAACATTGCTTTGTTGCCGAAGGCCCTCTCCCTTTAACATCTGCTTAAGCCTCTGTACATGTTATGCCCCTTCCTCCTCCCCTCCTACTGCCATGTAAGTTCTAAAGTTGGATATATTCTATTTTCAGAAGGGCGTACTCTGGGGTCCTTATTATGCTTAAAGGTGCCCCCTCTTCCACTTGGTGGCCCCAAAATGAAGACAATAAAGACAAGTTGAACATTTATGTTTTTTTGTGAGGCCCAGAGTGGAAATGGGAGTCCTGGGACCAGGTACTGGGTCTCACTTCTCATGGCTGTGTTCCCAACATCCTAAACAAGGCCCACTGGGTAGGAAGAGCTCAGTAAACACTTGGTGGGTTGAAGAGAAGGCAGCAGAGTGCTTGGGCATAGCTCTCAGAGGGGGACTTCTTTGTAGCTCCAGATGGAGATGATATGGCTCTGACCAGTAGAGGTCCTTGCAGCCCTGTAGAAAAGCTTAAAGCTGTGTGCATGTAGCAGGAACATTTAGAGAAATCGAGTTTTTTTTTTTGTTTCGTTTTGTTTTTTGAGTCAGGGTCTCACTATAACAGCATCACCATGCCCAGCATTCCTGAGATTCGTATCACCTTTGTCCTCCGCTACTGTCCTCAAGTGGACCCGTTCCCTAAGGCCATCTGTTTTCTCACTGGATCCCTGCAGGCTGACAAGTCGGGCATGATCTCTGGGGCCATAGAGGATAGCTCCCGGGTCAGACCTGACAGTGGAATCAGAATAGTGTGTAATGGGTGGGAAACACGAGGTCCCTTGAACACCTTGCCATCCACTTCCTGCCAGTTGGACTGTAGCATAGCCAATAGTTTTTTGTTTTGTTTTGGTACTGGGGATTGAACTCAGGACCTTGTGCTTGTGAATAGCCAATAATTTTTTGGGGGAAGAGCGAGTGCTAGACTGGCTGGCTGTCCAGTGTATGTCTCAAGTACTTTCTTCCATTATGTTGACTAGTACTACATTATCCTATGAAGAACATTCTGCAGGGAAGGCATCTAAAGTCAAAAGCACTGAGGTGACTTGCCTTGTTAGCTCAACAAAGACAAAGCAGAGCTTAAATTTCGGACTGGTTTCATTTGGTTTGTCAGCCATGTGCTATTTCCTTTGCTTGTTTTACATGGTTGGGGGAGGGAGTAGAAGCAATATTGGGAAGCATGTGGCTGGTGGCTCAGTTGCTGTGCTAGTCTGGCCTCTAAGACTTCCTCCCCAAGACTTCTCCAGATTTTTCTATTGTAAGTACTCTTGGAACCCCGGTACATGAGAGGTATACCGGAAGCTAGGTGTTGACGCAGGGAAAGCAAAGACCTAGACCTGCCTGCTGAACTTTGCTATTACTCTGCCCCCTTCATCTCCTTCAGGTCTGGCCCTCTGTGGGGGCTGAGGCCCTAGGACATCATCTGGTTTAATCTGTGGCTTAAATGAGAAGAGTTTAGGGAATAAAATTATCAAGGCCTCAGGCAGAATCAGAACTAGAAGTCCACTCTCAACTCCACTGCTGCTTTACTAACTTCTAAACCACACGCTTATTTTAATGATTTTCTTAAAGAAAAAGCACTTTATGCATTTGGTGTTCTGGCAGCTCCTAATGAAGATGAGTTCTCTGTTGAGCATTTGTTCCCCACCAGGGTGTGTTGATCGTGGACACCATCTTTAGTAAGCACATACCTTGCAGGAAGCACTTGAGCGATTATAGCCCAGCATGCCAAATCCTCCCTGGTTCCTGAGCTGCCCCTTCTTAAAAAGCTATAATATCCTGAAAGTCATGTCAAGTAAGTGCTTAGTTCAATTGAAGGATTCATCTCTGTAAAAACCAGATAAAAATCAGGCAGAATCAAGAAAAGGGACAATAGAGGGTGCTGTCTACTAGGATGCTGTTTGGCCACAAGATAAAAGGTACTTTCGATGGAGAGTAGCTCCGTGACAGTGGAATAACTCTCCATTGTTCTGTTTTGGAGTCTATAATAAAAGCTTAGTCTCCTCTGAGGAAAGTTTATGTGTGCAAACATTAAAAATCCAGGGGACGCATTGTTCCCTGTGCCCCTACTGAAACTTCACAGACTGTCGAACCATTGTCCTAAAAAAGCACTAATTACTTGTTGGATGCTGGTGTTTAAAGTGGACAGGCAAAAGTTCTCAAGCTTTAGTGCGTGCGTGTGTGTGTGTGTGTGTGTGTGTATGTGCGCGTGAAGCAATTCCCCCTGGGATTTGGATTCTGCATTTAAAGAGATTCAGGAATCAGCATTTTGTACACTCCAAACTATGAATGGGATTTATGAAAGCAAAATAGGGGATAGAACACTGCTCCATTTGTGTCCAGTTCATTTGGTTTTTTCAGGTTGGTTGTTTAAGCAGTACTGGGGGTGAAACCAGAGCCTTCATGATGAGCTACATCCACCACCCCACCTCCCTTTTATTTTGAAACAGGGTTTCACTGAGCTGCCCAGGCTGGGCTGGAATTTGGGATTCTCTTGTCTTAACCTCCCAGAATGGGGGGATTACAGGTGTGTGGCACAATGTCCAGCTCCCAATATCTTTTTTTTTTTAAATTTTATTGAGTTTATTGGTACATTTTAGGGATACAGTACAGTTACATTCATTGTTGGGATCATGTACCTTTACATGGCAAGTCTTGATTCCCAATATCTTTTTGACAAGAGGAGGCCCAAAATATTTGTACAAGGTGGGGCATGTCGAATTGCACGTACTCACCCGTTAAGGTGGATATGTAGCTGAGACTTCAGGACAGGTGGCAGCGCTCCCAGGGTACCCTCAAGTGTGCAGTCTCCCATTCACAGGATAGCCTGTGGCTGTGATTGCAAGCCTTCTACAGCTTTGGATGATATAGCAAGCTGTGGCATGCATGTCATAGGTTGATCACCACTGGTACTAGGGTTGACTATACCACCCTGGATTCTGGAGGCTGGAAAGATCTTCACCATGGTTTTTGTTTTGTTTTAATACTGGAGATTAAATCAAATTCACCCTGAGCTGCATTCACACTGAGCTACATTACCAGCCCTTTTGTACTTTCTATATTCATGGGGGGGGGGTCTTTTCTTTTTTTTTTTTTTTAATGCAGAATCTCGCCACATACTTCAGATTAGCCTTGAACTCACTATGTACTCCAGGCTGGCCCCAAACTCACAATGATCCTTCTGCCTCAGACTCCTGAGTTCTGAGATTATAGGTGTGCACCACCATACTGGGCTTGTATTTTTATTTTGAAATAGAGTCTCACTAAATTATTAAATGGCCCATGCTGGGCTCCAATTCATGATCCTTCTAGAGTGCTAGATGCTTCTAGATTACAGGAGTGCACTGTTGGCATATTCTGAAGCTCCATTCCTGCTGCTTAGTCATTTAAGAGTTGGAAGGGGTGAAGAAAAAAATGTTGAAGAGGTGGGGATGGAACCTGGGACCCTAGTACATGTTATGAATGCTCTATCCTAAGTCCTTGTTGTTTTCTTTAACATGTTCCTGCTGGCTTTAGCCAACGGTGGTCCATGCATGACTGTCCATCGGGTAGCTTGTGCCACTGGTAGTACAAATGGATTTAATCACTTTTATCGGTCTCTTTACTAATAAAATCAATAAGCTGACCAATGGGACAGTTACGTATGTACCACCAGTGGGTCAAGCTGCCCGGCTGTGCGACACACACTGTGGTCCCATTGTGGACGTGTTAAATTTTGCCAAAACAATGCACTGCTAATATTTTTTTATCTTATCTTAATCATCTGACTCCTCCCAACACTTCCTGCTCCCCTGTTCCCCTGGACTTCACTTGGGCTTGCTGGATCTCAAAAGGATGAAACAGTAGCAAGGAAACCCAGTGGGTTTCTCAGACTGTTAAGACCATTTGTGATTTTCAGTGATGATAACGGGGCGGTGACATGGGGATCTGGCCTGGCCTGTTATTCCTGCCGATGATTTATTCATGATGGGCACAATTTGAGTAAGAATTGATGAACCTCTAAAAAGGAAAGCGTGGCAGTGCATATATTGTACCACTAGACAGCTTCAAAATTTGGTTTTAAAAGGTCTTTAGTTCTCTGGGGAAAGCATCCAAGATGGAAGTAGGAAGGTGCTTGCTGGTTTTCTGGCCTTTCCATAGTTTCATTTATTGCAGATGGTGCTGGAGATGAGTCCATCCTAAACACAAAGCATCTCACTTAATCCTCCCAATCCCACGAGTTAGGTATTGTCTCTGTTGTACAGATAGGAAGAGTGAAACTCACATAAAAAAATATCGTGTAAGATGGCAAAACTCAGATTCACATGCAGGAATTTGAATTCATCCTAAGTTCAAGACTTAGTTTTCTTATTGGTGAGAAAAAATTGTTCAGGCCTTCAAAACATTTATTACTGAGCACAAGTAAAATTCTCCTATCCCCAGCTCACATATTCCTACCCCCATACCCTGATTTCCTCACTGGCTTTCCCAGAAAGAGAGTCCAGAGACCAAAGGAGAGCAGGCATCATTTCTTTCTGTACAGTTTTTAATTTTTTATTTTTTGATGTTTGTTGTTCAGATGAATGACACACTCAAGTTACAAAAATGGGGCCTTAAAAGAAGCACATTGTACAATGAACAAGCAGATTGGAGTTAAGAACACTGAAACGCTAACCCGCTACCACGCAAAGAGACAGGGAAGGGGTACGGGATGGGAGAGGAGGGGCTACCAACACAAGGGTGAGACAACTGAAAGGGGGGCTAACCTGGCGGGAACAGAGGAAAGGCAGGTGTCCTCCAGGACCTACTCAATTTTTGGATGCCACTTCCTTGTGTCCTTTGCCCACTACTTGCCACCCTAAGTCTTCCCACCCCATTCCAACCTGGTCAAAGTGAGTAGGCTAGAGGCACCCAACTCAGAAAGGGCTGAGCCAATCAGATCTTTACAAGGTGGGTGGTCACCTCGCCCCAGTGTAGTCCTGGATTTGAGAGGTGATGGTGGCAACAGTGGCGTAAGGAGCCAAAAAAATGGGACTAGAGGAGCTGACTGAAGACCAGGCCCCTGCATTTCCCTAAAGACTCCCCCACCACGATCCAAAGGCTCCCTACAAGTTGTCCTGAGAGGCCCCTGTCACCCTGCAAGTATATAAATAAATAAATACTGGGCCCCAGGGCTTGGGAGACAGGTTAAGGGAAGGGCAGCAGGGGCAGAGGAAAGGAAAGATGGGGAGGGAAGGGAGGCAGAGGGGAGGGAGTCACAGACATAGTAAATAGTTGTCTCCGTCCCAGCAACACTTCTCTCTGGATTTTTTTTTTTTTTTTTTTGCTCCTTTATTTGTTTGTTTACAAAGGAACTAACATCTCAAGGACAAATACTTAAAAATATACATTATTTTTTCTTTTTTTTTCCGCCTTTGTCATCGTCGTCTTGCTTTGGAGACTGCTGAGGTCAAAGTTTAAACCGCACGAAGGAACTGCGGCTTGGAGTTTTTGTGTATTTTTTTAAATTTTTATTTTAATTTTTTTTCACTTTTTTTCCAACGTATAAAAAGGTAGCGGAGTTGTCTGTGGGTTTTTTTTTTTTTTTTTTTTTTTTTTAATGGTTAAATCTTTGGTTTGTTTCTTTTTTTCTCTTGGAGGCCTTTATCTCTCGCACTTGCCTTTCCCAGAGACCGGTGGGGGCCCGCGTGTCCCAATCTTGCTCAGTCTGTCTCATTCTCTCTCATTCAGTACCCCCCACTCTAGGCTAGAGGAAGAGAGAGGCACCCTGGGATTGGAGTGGGTGACAGAAAATAGTCCAGAGTACCCCCAACTTGGCTAGTTCCTCACTAGATCTTCCCAGGGTGCTGGGCCTAGAGACACTCTCTTGGCCTTTTTCCCAGGGAGATGTGTGGAAAACTCATACCTTTTCTGATCTCAACCCCAACTTCTCCAAAGACTTGGGGGTCCCTGTCACTATCCACCCCCATACACACTTCCGGCCCTTTGCTTCCACTTCAAGGACTCTACCCTGCCCCCTCCCTAAGAAGAGAACAGAGAGGTGGTTTAGTTACTTTTTTTTTTTTTTTTTTTTATTTTTTTTTTTTGGCACAACTGAAAGGCCCACTCTTGGGGTAGACGCAGTCTCTGTCCCTCCTTTAAATAGGAGGTCAGGGGTGGGGAGAAGGGAAATTCAGAGGGCTCCCTCTTGCCCTAGTCCACTGACTTCTCTCTAGCCCAGGCCCCGGGCCCACCACCTGACATCTTGAGCTAGCCCAGAGCCTGGCCTGGGGTCTCCTCCCCATCCCCCTAAAGCTCCCCAGCCCTCCAACTCGCTCACACACAGACACACGGACACAGGCTCTGTACAGACCACAAAATAAAAATGATGAGATAGTTTTGTTTCCCGGAGTCGAGACGGGAGTCTGGAGTAGAAGGGGTAGGTGGGGGTGGGGGGCAGGAATTCCCCCATCACCTTCCCAACCCTGGCTCCTTCCAGCCCCCAGCCCCTTGCCCTGGCTGGCCCCCAGCCAACGATATTTGGTTTCCTTTTTTAACATTAAAGTTCTATGAGGTATTTGGTGCCTTATCTCGAGTCCTCGGGGGAGGGGGTCCCAGGGGGAGACCTGGGGCTCACCTGCCCCTCCCTCCCTCCCACCCCCTTCCCAATATTTGGTTTCACAGCTGTAGTTAAAGCTTGGGATTTGGTTATTTTTCCCCCTCCCAGGGATTTTCTTTTTCTTGTTTTTCTTTTCCCAGTTTTGGGGGTTGGATGGGGAGGGTCCCCATCACCCCCAGCTGCACAGGGTTCCCTCCACCAATGTCAGGGTATTTGCCCCATCCCTGCTCTTCTTCCTCCTCTCTGCCCCACGCCCCCACGCTGGGGTGGGGAAAGGTCCCAGGTGGTGGGACTGGAAGGGGAGGAAGCAGGATGAAGTGGGTGGTGGTGAGTCCTGGATTTTCTTTTCTTTTCTTTTTTCTTTTTCTTTTTTGTTTTTGGTCTAGAATCATAGTTTTTATTTGAGTCATCTCCACCATGCCTTCCATGCTGCCTGTCCTCTCGGAGGGGGTTTTTGGTTGTAATTCCTTTCATTCTGTTCTGCTCAAATGTCCTTCCTATCTGGTCAGGAGCCCACGGCCCCCTTTCTACCCTTGGGTGGGGGCCCAGGCCCTTTCGCCAGTCCCTTTTCAGGAAATCAAAATGGACAAACTCAGAGGTAGGGTGAGGGCAGGGAGTCAGTTCAGTGGAGATGCTTACATTCCAGCAAGGATGGGCTGACGAGGTGCCAGGCCCCATCGGTGCCAGGGGTGGGAGGGGCGGCCACTCCATCACTGCCCAGACAAGGCACCCGAGGCCCCTGCGATGGCTGCGTCTCTGCTGCCTCTGTGGCCCAGCCTGATCGTTTCATTTCCTGGGTGGGAGAAGGGAGACCAGAAGAAAAGAGAACGCTGAGGCCTGGGACTGTCTGCCTCTCCTCAGAGTGTCCAGCAGAAAGCACGGAGGCTGCCCTGGCCGTTGCCTGGCTCGCCCCTCCCTCTGCTCCTGCCCAGCCAGGGGCGGGGGCCACTCTGATTTCAATGGCTCGCGTCCTTCACAGCAACACTTTGGTTTGAGGAGAGACACAGAAAGAACAGGATTGAGAGAGGTGAGAGAAGAGTGAAGGAAGAGCGGAGAGAGGAGAGGGGAGGAGATAGAAGAGAACAGAAAAAGAAATCAAAGGAGGAATCAAACCACCCAAAAATTGTTAGTTTTCCTCTGTCCATTCTTTTTGCTTTCTTCTTTTTTTTCCTGTCTTTTTTTTTTTTTTTTTTTTTAAAGCTTTTTCAGTTGATTGCGGGGGGCGGGGAGTTTGAGGCTCTTCACCCCTGTCCCTGACACCCTCTCTCAGCCCCGCCCACCCGCTTCCATCCACCCTGGCTGAGGGACAGGCCCTGCCCCAGCCGCCCCCCCTCCGGCTTTCCCGAAGACAACGTCCATGAGGTATTTGTGAAGAGAAAGAAGCATCCTTCCTTCCATCCGCCTTGGGCACCAAGGGCCTGGACCACTGGTGCAGGGGTTTGGCTCCCCCTCGCGGCTCCTTCTTATTCTTGAAGAGTCCTCATCTTCTTTCCCTTAAATATATATATGTATATATATATATATCTATAAATTCTTTTTTTCTAGTTTTAATTTATTGTTTGTTTGGTTTTCTGTTTTGTTTTTTGTTTGTTTGCTTGTTTTTGGTTCGAAACTTTGTTGGCCCCCACAACAGCAGGAGGGCAAGGTGGCTCCCAGCGGCGTCTCTGTCCGTGTCGAGATGTGTCCAAGGCTGGGCAAACGCAGGGTCCAGCCAAGACTCGTGGAGGTCTTGCGGAAGGGGTGGCCACCAGCGTGCCCTCTTGAATGGGAACCACAGGTCATGGCACTGTCCCCGCCACTGGACCCTGATAGGGTTGCCATCTGGAGGAACCCACCACTGGGGTGCGTGTGCATGTGGGGGGAGGGAGAGGCATCTGCCAGTGTCAGAGGGGCACAGGGTGGGTAGAGCGAGGCGAGTTATCTTTTTGGTTTCTGGTTAATGTCAAAGAACGTGAAGGATCCCACGGATAGGCACTGGAATATGAATTTTTTTTCAGGGAAACTGACAGACAGGATGGAAAAAAAGACAACTTGAATGCCCCCACCTCATCTCCTTTTGCCTGAAATGTCCACCTTCCCACAGGCTGGGGAGGGGCCAGATTCCAGAGCAAGAAAGGCTGACAGGGTTGAGGAGGAACATGTGAGAGCTGAACTTGGCAAAATGGCCTAGCCCACCCTTCAAAGGAAAAAGGGACCGGTACAGGGGTTAAAAAGTCTTCCCCAGGCCTTTTCCTGAACTCTCCCCAGGCTGGGAGGAGGAAGGAGGTTAAAGCAAGACCCCCTGCCCAGGTCAGGAGAGCTGTGGGACAAGGAGGGGGGTGGGGACACATGATAGGGACACATTCCGTTAAGCACAACGCTAAAAATTCTGTACATCCTTTGGATGAAGCTACTGAATATTTGGTGTAAGGTTGTTCAGGCCCTTTCTCTTTCACCTTCAGGAAAAGAACATTTGGTGGATGGTTCTGGGCCCAGGCCCTCTGCCCCAGACTGTGCCCTGTCTCTGCTGGCCCAGGGCTGAGGCTGAAGTCAGCAGGCTGGCACATTCTCTCTTCTTCTCTACCCTCACTGGGAGGGGCAAGATTGGGGGATGACCCCACAGCCAGGGCTCAGCAGCAGGAGGTCCAACCTGCAGGAGGCTGCTCTGCGCCTGGCTGGGGCTCTTATTTGGTGTCGTAGCAGTGAGGGTGAGCACTCTGAGGTCTGGCTCGCAACTGGTTTTTGGTTTGATTTTGTGAGGAATTTTTTTGTTTTTGGTTTTTTTTGGTTTGTTTTTCACCTCTGGTCCCTTTGGGGAAGCTGGTTTCTGTTGTGATTATTTTTGGTTTTCTTTTTTGTTGGTTAGTTTCTTTCTTTTCTTTTTTTCTTTTTTTCTTTCTTTCTTTCTTTCTTTCTTTCTTTCTTTCTTTCTTTCTTTCTTTCTTTTTTTTTTTCCCACTTGGTTGGTTGGTATTTTTGGTCTTTCTTCCCTTGTCACTCCTGCTCCAAGGACCCGCTGGACCCCTACCAGTGGCCTCTTCGCCCTCTTCCCAGGCGAGGTACCGAGGTGAGGGTCAGAGGAGTGGGAGGGGAGGCATGATGGGCCCTCACTCGGGCTTCGACCCTGCCTCCGGCCCCCCTGGGCCTCCAGGGGTCTGTGCTGCGGCCTCACTGCAAGTGGAGGAGGACGAGGATGAAGAGGATGAGGAGGAGAGGCCAGGAGACTTGCTGGAGATGGAGGCCGCCACGGCTGCAGCCGCTGCTGAGACTAGGCCCACACCTGGAGGGGCGCTGAGCAGGGGCAGCCCGGCGTGGTTCAAGAAGAGTGGCGAGGTCACCAGGCTGGGGCTCCCTGGGGCCGCGCTGGCTGCCCCCAGCACCAGGTTCCCGCTGCCATCAAGGCTGGTAAGGGGCAGGGTTCCACCAGAGGCCAGGGCTGGTGGGGAGAGAGAGAGGCTGGGCTGGGGGGACACCAGGCTAGGGGAGACCTTTGCCTCCTAGTGTCCTGCCCGAGCGCCCCAGCTATCTCCCGGTCCTTCCCAGTGCCCCCATCAGCACCCCTCACACCTTCCCCAAAGGCGAGATGGGGATGAAGAGGCGAGCGATGCAGTGAGCAGGGGCAGGATGGCGAGGCTGGAGCAGCAATGGGGGGACTCGGGGCCCCAGGGGGGCAGGACTGGTGGCGATGGGAGTGACATGAGGCAGCACGCACCTTGGATAGTGGCCAAAGGGTTGTTGCTCATGAGGGCTGGACTCAGCCCGGAGCTCAACCCTACCATTGTGCTTCTGCAAGAGCAAAGCAGAGGTGTTAGCAGGACGAGAACCAGAGGCAGGACTGGGGTGTAGCTTCCCACCCTGAAAGCAGTAGCGACCCTGCCTCTTCCCTCCAGTAGCTGCACACTTACCCCGTGCTGGGGGTCAGGCCCGACAAGCCGATAGCCGAGTGGCTG